AGATTTTTTTAGAAGTTCATGGACTCTTTTTGTTTTGTCCCCTGATGGTTCAGCGGTAAGTTTTCGGACGTACAACGCTAAAATCTGGGGTTCTATTTCCCGTGGTTGAGTCCACCGTGTAGCTTAGTAGTAAAAATATGTTTGTTATAAAAATTACATTAATCTCTATGTATCAGATTGGGCTGGTGATTATCATGCCTTGATTCAGGTTTGCTTTATTTTGAATTTCGCGCAAAACTACACGAAGGCTATCTGCGCTAGGCGTCCTTAATTTACCAGTGAAGGGAAGGCAGCTAGTTAATACCACCCGACGGCAACTCTTGGGCTACTCTTTTACCAACGAATATTGAGATTGACCGAAACATTATAAGGGCCACACGGCTGAAGGGGCGACCACGTGCGGTGATGAGGATTCGAACCCGCGATCCTCAGATTGCGAGTCTAGCGCCTTATAACCACCAGGCCATGACATGCTGTTGAACAGGGTCCGTGAACTTAGTTGTGGAGGCATTATAAGTGTGAAAGTTAATTTCGCTATCTGGTTAACAGTAACAACATACTCGGCATATACTATTGACTGGCTAGCTTCTCTCTCATCATGACATACAAGTGCTTAGGTATTTTATACACTCACGAAAAGTACCCTTCTCTCTCGTGATTTCCATGTACTTCAGTGGCATGGGAATATTATAGAAGCAACGTTCTTCCGAGTACATAATGAAAGTCAGTTGACTATTCTCTAAAGTAAGTACATGACAGCCTTTTTAATGCTTTAGTGAATTGTAGGAATTTGGAACTCTGCAAAGAAAGCGGCACAGACGGGCTGCTACATATTTTACTAGCTGTTGACTTTTATCACTGTTCCACTAAAAGTAAAACTAGTGCAGGATTGATAGTAATTAGACAATTCTGAAACACATGAGCGGCCTATCGTGAATAATAATTTAATTCCACATACCATGGGCTTATAATACACGTGTACTTTCTTAAAGTGGAGTAGGGGAATTTAGAACGAAGTCGCTTAAATTGGATTATGTATCCATCAAGCTAACAAAACATTAGCGCCCCACTTGGATCCAGCTGTAGATGTCTACAAGTTTATTTATTTTCATTTAATGAAATAAACCTTCTTGTTAAATTGTGAAACAAAATATTTTCTCGTTTCTTATCTAACAAGGTATAATACTTAGAATTGCTGCTTACGTGCCAATTTTTATTAGTAATTTTACTTTATTTGCGAATTACGATTCACGAAAGTGTTGTTGCATAAACATTCCAAGAGCACTAAAAGATAAATATTCACAAAAATTCGAACAAATAATTCGAAAATCAACAACAACAAAAAAAAATCACATAATGTCAAGGATAAAGGAAAGGGCACGACATTTTATATGACAAATATAGTCTGGATCTATAATAAATGGTCTACTTTATGCGATATTTAAATTTTAAAGAAAACAGCTAATTTATTATGATACACGTTCTAAGTTTTCGCAATCAGCTGTTGATATTACTTTTCTACACTTTGCATTCTTGTGAAAGGTGCGTGACTAACAACTATTCTGACGTTGAGCTCGTCATGCATTGGTTAGAAAAACAAAACAAAAAACATCTACAATTATTTATTGATATTGTTCTAGTTTCAAAACTTGTTTCTAAGTATCTGTCTTTGCCAAAATCTTCTTAGGCTTGAGTGATAAAAACATAATTGTTTCGCATTATTTGTTGACAATGGTAGTATTTAAAGCAGTCTCAAAACCAGTAGACAAATACACGTTTTTCTTCGTATTATAATTAAATACTGCAATAGTATCTAAAGACAAAATTTTATTGTGAAGATAATATCGATAAAGTGAATACTAAATTTGGGGCAGCAGCTTTGCCCGAAACAACTAAGTAACCAATAAAGCAGACTAGATAAAATTGGATATTTTACTTTACGCTAAAACAACGAATTTTTGCAAACTTCGAAGAGAATGGTATGTTTATTTAGCTGTTTTTGTTTGTTTCTTAAGTACAAACTACATAATAGGGTATATGTACTGTGATCACCGCGAGTATTAAAACCCAAGTTTTGGCGTTATAAGCCCACAGACTCATCACTTAGCCATAGGTGGGCGTTTTTGTTAACTTATTTTTCGTAAATTTCGAAAAGAAAAACAACAACAAATGTTATGCTTGTCGACATATTTCCATTAATACGAAATTATCAAGTGTCAAAAAACAGAAATATTTAACCTTTTTTATATTGACTATTTTTTATTTTTTTAATAAAATTCGCCTATACCTTAGCTTTAACTGGTAGATAGAACCCGAAAAGTGACTGTTTTTATTACAGAATATTAATCAATATTCCCCCCTCGATGGACACAGCAGATAGCCCGAGAGACGCACAAACCTCCTTAAAGAGCCGCAGGGTGCGACCCTTAGTATAGGTAATCACGAATTTCAGATTATCATTTGAAAACTGGTTTTTATTATTTTTTCTTATTTAAGTTCCAAGCTGGACAACGCTTTATCTGCGCTGTGCTAATCGCAGGCATCGAACCTCGCATTTTAGCGATATAAGCCCTCAAGCTTATTACTATTTTAAACTGAGAAAATCCTATATCTAACCTTTCTTTCAACCCGAAAAAAAAGGAAGAAAATTCTGTCAAGAAAAACCAGCTTTAAATGTGTTCGAGATATATTTTGTGAATATACAGCGATTATTCAATATTTCATTTTACATTAGATCATTTGGAACTATTGGTTTCTTATAGAACTGAAACTGAAGTCATAGTTATTTACGACTGAGTCTATGAATTGGCAATGAAGAAGATTTAAAATGTAAACAAACACTCACAACCACTTAATTAGAGGGAGAGAAAGGTTTCATTCGAATACTTACATGGAATATGTGAATAATGATATTGTATACAAACTTATACTTGTGAGAACATCACATAGACAGAAGTTACTGAATGATAAACATGTGTTGTTGTAAAGATGGAAAAAACATTCCTGAACCGTGAAGAGCCTCACCACATGAATATAACCCTGCAAGGGACCGAAGACCCTCAGGTTAGAAGACGTAGGTCTTGAGAGGGATGGGAGTGAGGAGGAAGTTAAGAAAATCGTAGAACAGACGAAGAATGTGAAGACGCCAGGAGTTGATAATTCGCCTGCTCGGTTTGGAGGAGAGAAAATAACAAAATGGCCAAGGATAGTCTAGAAAACAGAAAGGACACCAATGATTGGATTAGGATTTTTGTCGTTCCGTTACACAAGAAACATAACAGAGAATAATGAAATGATTAAAAAAAAAGAAGAGTTTACTAAAAGTAGAGGTATGTTGAGCAGAATAATTGACATTATGATAAGGGAAATGCATACAACAGTACTGTTTCACAACAGAGGGAGGATGTTACGAGCAGACATTCATAACCGGAAAAATGAGAGAAGAGAAATATAAACTTGAACAAAACTGTATATCTGCGTTGTTTATTTTAAACAAGCCTATGACTCAGCCCGAAGAGAAGGTTAGTGCAATTGCTAAGAAGTTAAAGAACACCAGCTAAGATTGTACGACTTATCGAAAGTAGATCACGTTTGAAGGTGAGAGGGAAAGATCAGATTGGTTTGGAAAGAAAAATAACGTGATACAAGGATGTAATCAGTCGCTATGCATGTTCAACGCTCTTCTGGACTACGTACTGTACTTGGTAGACAAAGAAACACAGCAAGGTGTAAGACACGGATGCTACAGTACTGTTTGCAGAATCCTTCACGGCGATAGCCACTCTATTCGGTAGGTTCGGTCATGAAGGTGAGAAATTCGGGTTGAAAGTGTGTCAAGGACAAAAGGGATGAAAGTTACAAGGAACGGAATAGATGCCGATTGAAAAGGTTGACAGTTTTGTGTTTTTGAAAAGTGAGGATGAAAGTATCAGCAAGAAAGGTATGACGGCGGTTGGCACTAGTAGAAGTAACGTTCAATAACTTGAAGAAGGTACTGTGGGAGATGCAATGTGTTGATGTAAAGACCAAGATCAGAGCGTATGATGCTGCAGTGACGTTGTATGGGTCAGAAATTTCGATAAGGTCAAAACAGCAGGAACAGGGGTTAAATGATTTCGATGGTAGGTGGAAACAATGAATGACTGGACAACGGAGGTTGGGTAAACTGGCAGAAGAGCAGTGTTTGACCTGGGCTGGACGTGTATACAGGAACAAAGGTTAGTAAGAAAGATGGAGACGGCAATTACATGGAAAGAGATGAAGAGGAAGGTGAAAAGATGGCGAGAGGAAAAGCACTAAGAGAAGAAAATGCAAGATCTTGAGTGCCCAGACACAGGATAAAGCAGTGTGGAGAAGACTAGTCGGAGCGCAGGATGAACTAACGAACGCGTGTGACTGACTGATTTTGATGCTATTTCTAAACGGTTCAGTAACCCTTCAAAACTCTCACACTTTCAGAAGCCACCAACCTTGATTATAATGTTTGATATTTTTGTATGTTGATCTTGCATACGTACATTATTTTCGGTAAATCGTTTACTTTAAAAAATCTCATCACTAAAACAAAATCTTGCTAGTTTAAGCATGTTTTTTTCAACCGCCAGCTACGGTGAAATAGTGCCACCTATTGCAGATTTAATAAAACGTTTCATTTGTTTTCTCTTTATCATATATTTCACTTTTTTTTTTTATCTAAAGATTAAAGACCTTATTCGACGTATTGGTTAAATAGCCAGATCAGAAATATTAAGGTTCTGGCATAGTCGTTCCTAACTTAAAAATACAAATAAAGATCTGAAGAAAACATAGCGGAACTTGATAAACCTCAATAAAGATTTTTTTCATAAAATCTGACATAAGAATGAGATACAAGTTTAAAAAATAATATAAATTGAATAAAACTATGTTGAAGCAGGGTAATGTCTTCAAAAACACCTAATAGGGCTACATATAAGGTCAATTATATATTCAGAGAAAAAACATTTGCAAGTTCTTTTTATTCCAAATTAGTACAATCAGCAGATTAGACAGAGAATTTCTTTCATAAACATAATAGTTTTCTAAGTTAATTAGCTTGACTGAAAGTTTTCTTGTAAGTTCACAATAATGTATTTGTAAGACAGCTGTAAATGACTGACTCTTCTGTGAGAATACATGGATCATTCCAAAATGTTTTAATATAAAGTACACATATTTTTAAAGTTCTAATATAAATAACATTCTGGTGTTTTTAACATAAACAAATATTTAAAGTTTTCATACAAAATAAGCATCTTTCTACAGTTCTAATGTACAGTACATATTTTCAATTTGCATTAAACAACATTCTAGTGTTTTAATACAAAGTAATGTTTATGATGCTCTGCAAATGTGCAATTCATTTAAATATCCTGCCTTGATTACATTTCTTGCCCAAATCATTTTCTCATGCAAGGTATTCTTCTATTTGGTGTGATCTGCATTAAGGTCCATTCCACTCCACCAGTCAGGAGAAAACTTAAACAAAAAGAATGATAATGAAAAATTAATGCTAAATAAACTTTCTAGAATGTTTTATTATCAAATAAGGATCATTCCAGATGTTTTAAAGTACGCATGTTTTTAAAGTTTTAATATCATGAAAATATCTTTCTAAAATTTTAATAAGAATCATCTTCAATAAGTTTTCAAAACAAATACTCTCATTCTAAAGTCTTATACTTGACATGTACTCTTATAAGTTCAAATATTAAAACTAGAATATAATTTCTTTCAATGTGTACTATGAGTTATCAATGAAAATTTGTCCCATTTACCAAAGAAAGAACAACTTTATGTACTGTAATATGGGTAAATTTAAGATTTTTAGAACTGTAATAATTATAACATTAAAGGTTTATTAACATTTATCAGTTTGTTTGTTTTTGAATTTCGCGCAAAGCTACACGAGGGCTATCTGCGCTCGCCGCCCCTAATTTAGCAGTTTAAGACTAGAGGGAAGGCAGCTAGTCATCACCACCCACCGCCAACTCTTGAGCTACTCTTTTACTAATGATTGACCGTCGCATTATAACACCCCCACGGCTGAAAGGGCAAGCATGTTTGATGTGACGGGGAATCGAACCTGCGACATTTATTAATGTAAAAAAAATTATACAAAGATATCTTTCAATGTAAAACTTCAACAACCATAATGGTCTATATACCTTTAGCCAAATTAATAATATATCAAAAAACTTTGCTAGGAAGACTTGAAATTAAGAATTAATTTTAAATATCTGTGTGAATATCTTCATCATATGATCAGTTTTACAACATTAAAATAATTTAGAGTAGAAAGCTTCCCACTGTCTTCATAGTTAAATTCAAAATCAATGAATAAATATTTTAAAGAATTTTAGAAACAACATTTTTTAATCTAACTTAGGAGCAGAAAAAAGTACTACATGTGATCTAGTGCATATGTTGTTTTTTCACATATAGATACACTTCAAAAGCCACAATTACTTGAAATAACTCGCTTGAAAATATCAAGATTTCTTCACACATTCATATGTAAGTTTATCCTGATGAATATTTTGAAATTCTTTTAAATCTTTAATACCACACACAATATATTGTAGAATTTATGTCATGATACGTGCTATTTCTACTAAAGACAATATATTTAATGTGGTTATATTTAATGTTAATTTGTTTTTAATCTGGAAAAGCATCATATTAGTGACTTCACATAGTGTTCATTTTTTATAATCTGGTGTTACATTCTAAGGCTTATCTATTCTGAAGTTTTACTAGTAATAAGGCTGAGTCTAATGAAGAACAGGTGCAGTTTTTTAGGATACTTACATTCATAGTATTAAACAGACAAGTTTTCCTGCAAGTATGCTGTAGACTTCTCTTTATCTTCATTGGAATAGACTTGCTTGAAAACATCCATATTGAATGTTCTGACAATGAGAAAATTTCTAAGGAAATTTTAAATCAGTGATGTAAACTAGCTTAAATGAAATTAAAATATTACACCTGTACCACAATGTTTGTTGTTAAACCCTGTTTTTTTTTTTTGGCTTCTGAATGAGAAGTGAGTGAGTCAGCAACCAAAAACATGTTAAAATGTACATTTAAATGATGTTTAAACTAAAATTTTAAGATGAGGAAATAAATATTTGGAAAACATAGAATTTTGTTTCAAACTTTTTTCTAAAGATTTATGTACAGAAGTAATATAAATTTTACTAACAATAACAAAAATATTTTCTTCACAGTTTTTTAAATATTTAATTATCAGCAGCAAAATAAACTGATTCTGAGCAGATTACATTTCAGATTTTTGGAATAAAAATAGGCGACAGGTATTTAATTAATCTGAGTAACACGTGTTCACCTGGATTTTATTATATTCACAAATCAAAAACAATGTTAGCCATTTGCAATATACATACAAAAAATTATAATAGAGAAAATATGTTATACCAGTGATAATGTCTTAATAATCATTTTATAAACATAATTTTTTCATATTAATTAACCTAACAATAAAAATATCTTAATTATGATGCTTATTTAAACATGATGTTTACTTAAACTAAATAAAACTACCTGTATTAGGTATATTATGACTAACAGGTAAAATGCTTAGAATGTAATAGAAAACACTTGTATGCTACATGAACACAATACCTATTATGTGTGATGATACATGTGCAAGTAGTAACATGCCTATTGTGAGATAATCCATTGATAGAAATGCTACCTGATTATCCAATTAACTGCAAAATTAACATCCAATCAGATTGTATTTCACTGGACAGTGCAGTATTACATAAAATATTTGTCCCATCCCTACTTTTAACACTTTAATGTTTGCAGTAGCCATCACTGCTGGTTATAATCATGAAAAAACGAGGCAAAATTTGCCAAAGATTTATCAGTGACCTAGGATCTAACCTTTCAAAATAGCCTCACCATTATCTTTATCATGATTTTTGCTAACAATATTCTTGGTTAAGATAAATACACCTAATAAACATAGTTTCTTTTTAATAAGTTATTTTATTTGTATACTTTCTCTGAATATGATAAACTTAGCAACATTATCCAACATAGAAGGATTTGAGTCATCAGAATATTTTTCCATCACCTACTTTACTCGCTAAACCTAATTAATTTATCTGATGTACTGTAATGGAAGAAAATTTCTGTAGCTTTCAAACAAATAAAAATTAATATAAAAACATTTTCAGGAACACAAAAAGTAAAACAGGAGAAACACTACGTTCTTCTATCTTAAAAACTATAATTAATCCAGTATATGTAGCAAGATGGAAAAGTCTCATTTAATCATGCCAAAGTTATCCTAAGATATTTTGATTCCTGAAGGTTTATATTAGTTTCGTCTTCAAACTATCAGAATAAGAAAATAATTATTTTTCAAATATTTGCAATTAATGCCTTCTAGTATGTTCTTGTGATGGAAGTAAAACCCTTAAATAGAAGTATACTTATCACATGCAGCTATTATCACCTCCTGTAATATTTACACTACTTCTAATGAAAAATTGGGTAACCAAAGTTCAATATGCATCACCTCTGCAATATTTCAACTTTTCAGAGTCACAAGTGGAACTTTCTGAAACATTCCTTTAATGAACAAACAACATTCTGAACTCATCCTGTTAGAAGATCATCAAAAGGATCTTTTTTTTTAGGTTTTTGTTCTATGAAGTTTTCTATTTCATTTAGTTCTTCTTTTTTCTTGTCATCTTTGAGTGATTTCCCTCATTTTGTTCCACCTTTGCTTTCTTTATCCTTGTCTTTTCCCACAACAATTTTTTCAGATATATCAACAAAATTCACTTAAGCTATATCTGACAAAAATGTAATTTCAACAGAGAGGTGAATAGTAAATATAGAAAGTTATTCATGATCTATGATAAGTTGCGTATCCATTAACCTTGTTCCTCATCATTCCTGTAGTCTGCAACTATACAGGCTAAAAACCCTGAAATTCTTGGTTCAGTTCAGTTAAGTGTGGTAAAAAATGTAGGTGTAGATGACAATTGGAACTGACTTCTTCTGGGAGGGTTATGTTCTGCAATTATAAATGCATTCGAAACACAAAATTTTTAGTTTTTTGAAGGAAAGTGTATCTATAGTGCTGGACCATATCAGTAAATCATGGGAAATTGTGATTCCAGCTTGAAAAAATAAACCATTCCATAACTGACTTTGTCGAAATGGTGTACATTTGCTGTTATGTTAAACTTATATTAAAGTTTTCCTTCATTACCCATTCAAGCCGTCTCCAGCCATTATTAGTCTCAAAGTGGGTTCCTCGTCATCAAATAAGTAGCTTCTATTCTATTACATAATGGGCAGTTTTAAGATAGTTTTTATATGTGAAAATATCTCTTAGCTGAGTTCTTGCACAGATCTTAAAATATAACGTTGATAAACTAACAATTGGTCCAGTTATCAATGCTACTTTCAAGTTTTGAATAACTCGACATTCAAGATTTGCATATCTACATGTGCCGATGTTTCCGTTTATCAACATTATATTTTAAGACCTGTGTAAGAACTCAGCTAACAGATGTTTCCACATATAAAAGCTATCTTCATATTTTGGTATTCTAAGTCTTGATTAACACATTAAAAATTGTTTTTTTTTATGTCATGTGAATGAAAAGAAAAGCACATACATAATACATGACAAACAAAAACAATTTTTCTTATACACATTTTACACAATTTGAAATGTTACTATTAAACTGATCCAACCTTTTCACACGGCATAAAATTCCAACGATATTCTTGAATTGAAGTTAGTTAATTACAGTTGTAAACCACCTGTTGACACTTCCAGAGGATTTATGAGAAACAGGATCAATTGTTTACATAAGAAATAAAGAACTTGTGTTTTTAAGATATTATGTGATGTCACACACAATAACTAAATTTCTATGAAGGTTTACATTTCTGACGTATGTTTTTTTATTTAAAAAACCTATAAGCACTGAATTACTTCCACAAAATATACAAGATTTCATTGCAAAATATGATAAAAATACTTTAGCACCATCCATAAACTTACATGTTCATAAGGGAAGAGATAAGTGCAGCAAACAGAAATATCTGCTCAAGTATTTCATTCTCCAACTAGTAAAGTTTCAAACCTTTATCGTCCTTAGCATGGTCAGTAGCCTAAAATGGTTAAATAAATATCCAGGATTAATTTAACCACAAAAGCAAGTGGACATAAAAAGAAATCAAACTAGGTATATAAGCTTATTGAAAAATACCGGTAATAATTTATTTCATTATTATATTTTTGTAGTGAGCAAACCAATATAAAATATTCCTGTTTCTCATATTTATTAAACACTTAATGTGCATATTGTATTTAGTGGTTTTGTAATATCCTATTGAAGGTTAAGATATAAAGCACATTTTACGATCAATTCAACCAATATAACCTGATAGCACTAAATCCAAACAGATTGAACAACTACACTGTCTCCTATCAGTGTTGAAACAACTTTATATTTTCAACTATTTCTGAAAATGAGATGTGACAGGAATGTTAAATTCCAAAGCATGTTATTTACAATGATATACCAGGAAGAAGTTTTCACTTAAAAAAGTATACTTCAATAATCAACAGAGATAACAAAAATTAAGTTTTAAATCAAAACCTTTTCATCATGATTATTAGGTTAAGATGGTTTTTAGATAGTAACCAAAATATTTGCAAACATGCATCCATAATTATAAGTTATAACTACATGGTGAATACTAAAATTCTACAAGACCGATTAAACACTACATTAATAAAGTTGGTAAGACTAGGATTTTTAAAGGAATTCTCATTTTACTTTCACCTTAATTTATTTGTCTGTTGTACTGCACAATACCCATGCAAGGATATGCATGGTTGACAAAATTAATCCACTGTAAAATATGAGCTTGATCCACTGGAGTTCTTTCCTCTATTTTCCAACTAATTGTGAAAAGAAAATTCATCAAAACTGAATACAAACCTTGATTTTTCCTATAAAAAATGAAAATCACACTTTAAACAACAAATACAAACCACTTTCAAGAAACCAACCATTATTTCAATGTGTTTTTCTTCTTTTTTTTGTAACAATAAGTATATTACAAAAATTATCAGGTGAGAAGATATTTTGCAAAGTGACTATCAACTTATGAAGTCATTTAACCCTTTTAATATTGGGTGGCTTTTGAAACATCTTATCAAAGGAAACTTAAAACAGATACGCAACAACAACAACAACAAAAAATGTGGATCAAGATTTTTTTTCTATACTTTCAGCACCTTTTGTATTATTAACTACCTTAATTTATTGTAATGTCACATGAAATACAATACTATTTGATGAATAATGTCCTTAAATATAAGAAGCAACTTGTATGTAGAACTTAGCTAAAGTCAATAACAAAACAAAGCTCTGCTATAGATACAGGCCATAAGTTTGTTCAGCATACAACTGTTGCTCATAAATGTCATGAATATAAAAGTGAAATCTACACAAACCAAATATTTGACAGAAATTCACAAACATTAAATGGTCTTAGAACCAACTTTTCATTTCAATATGCTATTAGTACTGTTGTGCAACCTTTTATTTCTTTATGAACAATTAAAGATTTCAAAATCAAAAAGGATCAGAAAATGACATAAACTACACCAGAACAATTTCCTAAGTTTGGTCACTAGATTGCATTTATTTTGATTAAATTTGTTATATTGGCAAGAATTCCAAATATGTCCAAATCTTATCTTTGAATTATTTTTTGTAGGACAAGAGTGACTAGTTCTATTTATAATATTATACACACTACATAGCAGTTAATCACTCTGCCTCTCAATAATTTGCCTCCTGTTGGTTACATACAAAGCAACAAGTGTTGAGTATGCCGTAAAAGGAGGTAAGTTTCTTATAGTGTAATGGCATTAAATAGAGCATTTACGTAAAAGGTGATTATAAAGAAAACCTCACATTCAAAACAATATCTTAAAAAGTAGCCATCCTATGAAAATTACATTTCACAAGAAGAACACTGAAAATCACAAGTTATATTCAAGAAAATGTGTAATTGGTACAGTGTTTAAAAAACTGTCTCGGAAGGTGTTCAATATGCCTTGCATCATTCTCAGTCAACATATCAATCTTATTCCTAAGTAATGCTACTGCATACATCATCTGTTCTTTGGTTCTCACAATATTCTGTACATTGACATGTATTTTATTTAGATTGTCAATCTTGTATAGTTGAAAGAGACATAATGTAAACTTGTAAGAAAAGTGATCTAAGCATAATAATACAGCGTAATAGGGTTTTGAAACACCTTGTACCATGAAAGAACATTCCCAAATAAAGCTTATGATTCTCAATATGCTTCTGGTCAAGTTTTGTTCCCCTGGAAAAGAAGCTTCGAAAATATGACCCTTAAGGGATTTTTCCTTTATAACCACCCTGTAAAATGCTACATATAAAAAGATATAGTTTCATACTAAAATGAAAAATATAACTACCACGGAACTTTCACAAACACAAAGTATTAAATATCATATGATTTTAATCCGTTATCTGTCAAGTGGCAAAACAAATCCTCTACAATAATACAAAGTATTATAAGCCTGCTTGAAAATTGTTTTACAAAAAATCAAGAGTTCATACAAGATTCTTTAGACTGAACCAGCCTTTTCTTTTTTTTGCATCTGGAAGCATAACAAAGAAGTATCCAGTATTTCATAAAACTTACACTTACCAGAGTGGACTATGGAACCTTTTATCTTGCATTTCAAATGCTGGATCCTTCAAGAAGAAAGAACATGTACATCACTTTTATTATGGATTTTCAATGCTCTATATCAAGTAAATTACAATATACTCTTGTTACTGATTCCACCATATTTATCATACCATAAAGAAAAAGATGGGTATTATACATATTTGAAGTATAAATTTATAAGCATTTTGATGTAAACACAAGTTTCTAAAGTTACCAACTTAAATCAAACCACAGTCAATACAAACATACAATCATATCACCCACTGCTAAGAATTAGTTGACAAAGTCTTTATCAGTCTCATGTGACTAGACAATCAAATCGGCCATTTTGAAAATAATTATTAAATATAATCATACTACAATAATTAGTAAACATAGTATATCCACTGCTAAAAACAGTCAGAGTATTATTTAAAATCAATACACACAAAGTATCAACTTCTCTAAGGACACATCAGTTTCACTGTTAAGAATCAAAACATAGCCTTGTCAACTTTGCTGTTAAGACTCAGTAAACACAGACTCATCAGCTTCTCTTTTTCAGAATCAGTAAATAATCACATCAGCTTCTCTGCAAGAATCAGTAAACAAAGTATACCAGTTACTCTGTAAGAACTAGTAAACAAAGTACCCCAGTCACATCTGTTAGAGTCAGTAAGCACAGCTTCAACAGCTGCCCTATGTAAGAATCAGTAAACACATTCACATCAGCTCCTCTGTTAAGAATCAGTAGACACTGTATAAAAGCCTCTCTGTTAAAATCAGCAGTCATAAGCTCCTATTAAGAATCTGTGGATAAATTTTACATCATTCTCTCTGTAAAAATCAGTTGACAGTCACATCAACTTCTCTGTAAGAAACAGTAAACACGCACACTAACCTTTCTATAAGAATAAATACTGTTCCATCAACTTTACTGCAAAAATTGGTAGAGAACCACATCAACTTTTCTATAATAATCAGTAGGCAGTCACGTGATACACTCTGTATAAAAACAATGGAAACTGTGTATCAGCCACTGTCCAAAAGAATCAACAAACACAGACTTGCAACAGCCTGCCCTATTATTCTTTTTCCTACTCATGAGTTTTGAGCTTCTTTGTATTTATTGATCATATTCTGTGTAAAAAACAGCCAGAGAAAGCTGAACTGAAGTACAAGAAAATATAATATATATATATATAATTACTCACACTTCTAACATTTTGAAAAATGGGTATTCCATAAACCAAATATTAATATTTGTTCCTTTAAACTATTCAAAAATTTAAGCCTTTTCCTGCTATTCAAAATAAATATTATATATTTCGTGACGTGAAGATATTAAGACTGATAACATGATGTTTATAAGCTAAGCTTTTATTACCAATTTTTGAAGCTAAATATTCTTTAATAACACTAAGACATTCATTTTAAGTCCAATCACAGATGAATCAAATAAAACATCTAAAAGTCTGGAAAGATATACACATACTTTAACAATAAAAAATAAGTTTCAGCACAAAGCTGCACAGTACGCAATATATGCTGTGTCTGCTACAAGGATCAAGCCCCATATTTTAGCTTATAAGCTTTAAAGGAGCATATAATCAAAAATATCTAGAAATTTTTAGGAACTAGGTCAGTAAATATATATTAGGTGTATCACACTACTACAAAAAAATTTTCACAATTTTTACATTATTTTAAACAAACACTTTAATGAAAAAGAGCTTTTAATTTTGAAAATTCTCTAAAATACCTTGATATTAGTAATTATCAAGATGTATTACAATGCTTTGAATATTATTTTTCTTAGAAGTTCAGTTTATTAAAACAAATTTAAAGCAAAAAAAGATTGAACCTAAGAGCATGTTAACAACAAATATTTTCTTTAGATTTCATGGCTCTGACACATTTAATCAAGTAAAAATTAGTCAACTTTAATTCTTTACCGATACATCCCAATGAGAACACTATGGGGGAGGGGAGAGGTAAAAAAAAACAGAAACATTTAGTGAGTTTCTTTATTTTCCAATATATCTTTTACTTAGGTGCATTTATGCAGAAATACATATCACCAAAAAGATTAAATTTATTCTTCTATTAATTATCAAGATGTATTACAATGCTTTGAATATAATCTAGAAACTGTGCATGGTCTGGCAGGGGAGTGGTAAAGAAGAGCTTGCTGGGACTGAAGTTACTCAAAATGTGCCTTAGCCTCCCCTGTTAAAATGCTCATTGTTAAACATAATTTACTTCCTAAATACTACAATATGTGTGTCCACATGATATAGAGTGCAGCTCCTCACCAGGAAAAGGCTGGCACCACCTCTGTGCCCTGGGATTCCTCTGAATGAAAATTAAGAAGTGATGCTGTGAAAACATGGTATTAAGGAACACTGATACCAAAACAGGTAAGTACCAAGTATCTGTGATATACACAACAGATTCTATGGTAAGTTAAGCAGAATATATATATATATATATATATTGAACATGAAAAGGAAGAAAAAGGAAAGCAAACACAGGTGTACAAATAAACAGTCTTTATTTATACAAGAACAAAACATACTGCGGTTTACTAGACTGTTAAGTTTCTATGTTCTGTACAAAAAATTGGAGCTAACTACTGAAGCAGACCAGAATCACATCTACACAAGACGAAAACAATAGCAAAATTAATTATATATCACTCTATTAAGTCAGAACAAAAGTTCTTTGTGTGATTTCTTACAATACTAGATTACCTAAGTCAACCTGTACTATAGTACATTTACAAGGAAGACAAATCCCCAACTCATATTAACTATGCAAGTCTCTGTACCATTTCTTGAAATAAGTATGACCTCACTCCAAAGGACATGGCAAAGAAACAGTATAAGCCTTAGTGAATAATTGTTGTTGTACCTAACTTGACTTTCTGCACAGTATCATTCAACATGGTATGATGTATTTGATGTTAGTTATCAACTATGCATATTACCCTACATTGCTGATTTAGCTACAGTTTGTGGTAGAATAAATACTAGAATCAATATACATGGATACTAAAAGAAACTGCAGATATGCATTTTGGAGGTTTCAGAGGTTATGCAAATACAAAATACACCCTGTACAATGGAAAAAAGTATTTTTATTCTTCCAATCAACATAACCTTGCACTCCAACTTGACTAGTGTCATCAATTCATAGATACATCTTGAGTACAAATACTTTATTATTACACATCCTATTTTTTTCATGTACAACAGACTTGTACTGTTTATTAAAAGCTTTCCACATTTTGTGGAGGCACTCATAATAAATTTGAAATTATAGTCAACATTACTTCTCCTGTACAGCATTGATTCACTGGACCAACCATGCACATATTTAGTAAACTGTTAAGAATAATGGTGATATAGAGAAAAGGAGAATGAATTTTATGTACATACTGAGAAAAACATATTTTGTGAGAAAGTCTGACTGAGTACCAGTACTCAGTGGCAATTGAATTCTGGGATATGTTTAAAGAAAATACAAGTTACAAAGTTACTACCAGCTTATATTTTGTTTGTTTATTGTTAAGTGCAAAGCTACAAAATGTATTGTGTTCTGCCCACACTGAGTGCCAAAATCAACTTTTAACATTATAAGCCTTGATGCTTACTTGTGAGCCACTGGAAGGGTGGTGGTTGTGGTCTCTATCTTATAAAACACTCTTGTTTAGAATATTTCAAGTATGTATTATGATTTTTTATCATGGAAATGACATTGATAAACTGTAATTGTAAAAAAAAGACAGAGTCATCATAGACAGAGAGGAGGGATGGGGGGGGGGGGCTACTAAACATGATCAAATGTTTGGCATTTGTTGTTTTGAAATTACACAGAACTCTAAATTGTCTAAATCACATATACATTACACAGCATGAATATGAAGAATACAGAATATTAAAATTAAATGGAAGATGATAAAAAAGTGGCTCCATTAACTTTTAAAAGTATTACTAACATCATTAGCCTTCAAGAGTGCTCATTTTATCTTTCCATGCAAATAGAGAAGAAAAATGTATTCAAATATTTTAAAGAATTGTTTAATTCTTCATTCATTTCCAATTAGTCACCTGAGAGAGAGAAAGAAATTTGCAGACTTAATAGATTGGGAGCTATTATTTTTTGGCAGGAGTCCATATTGGCTCCAAACAAGTAATTAATGATTATATTTTGTGCATTATTTAATAGGCCAGTATCTAAGTCTCAAAATTTAATCTTTATTAGCCTCTGCATTCACTTTTAAAATTAAATAATTTATTTTCTAAGCCATTTCACTTTAGTAGAAATGACAATTTCACAATTACAAATGAAATTTAAAATCAAGCTGCATGCATCACTTTCAGAATACTAATGATATAACCACTGCTTTGGTTTACGGTTTCCGTGAAAAAACTCTTAAGTTTCTGAGGTGTTGGCCCTGGGCCACCTTCCCAATATTATAATTACCCTTTGTTCTAATTATGGAAATACTTTTGCTAAAAAAAGCTTTGAATAAAAATTCGTTTCCCCAAACAAAATGTAAAACCAGAATCTTCTAACTTTTAATCTATACTACATATTTTCTAATTCTTCCACTCTGTTCTAGTACTACTACTACTAGATTAGAGTAGCCCATTGTCAAGAGGAGAGAGAGCATAACTAAACGCAGAGAAACAAAATGTTATTTTTGATCAATAGAAGCAACACATACTTTTCCTGATGGTAACTTCATCTGTAAAGTATCTGCTTTAGTGGTAATGGAATATCCCAATAGATTTTGATTACTCATTCAAACTTTAACTTGTGCTCCACTACATTCGCTCTGACTGTGAGTGTGACGGTAATTCTAAAGTTTCCAGGATAAGTGTCGATCTAAAGTAAAATAAAGTGACATTTCCTTTATTATAAAAATGGTGTTAATTTCTTTAAAAGCAAGTGTCTGGAGAATAATTTCGGAGTCAAGATTAAAATGGATATAAGTATTGAATATATCTCTCGAACACTTACCCCCACGTCACACCTCACCTGCCAATTAAAATGAATGTGGCATTGATCACGTCACCAGAAAAACAAGTTTAGTGGTTATTTTCTATCCCATAATTCCATATCATTCAATACCGAAGGAGGAGGGAGTATAACACTGCTTGGGGGAACTTTTAACCAGGTTATTTAGTTTGAATAGTATTATTAGTCCGAATAAATAAAACATATGTCCACACATACAATTAACTGTAATTTTCCTTTTTGAACTCATAAACATATTTAGTAAGTTGATACTCGCCATTTTCTAAACTCAACTGATTACTCCATTATTTTCATTAAACAGAAAAATTTGGAAACATACGAGATGGCTTAAACATTTTCTTACATAATCTATTACATTCTCACTCATAAAAAAATAGCAAAATTATTATACCATCAAACATTTAGTTATTTAATGAGAAATTAGTTGCAAAAGCGTACTTTAGTTTGAGAACTACACTCTATGATTCGGTCTATCGATGCATATAGTTTCGAGAGCTAATGACTAAGCAATTAGTTTTACAGCATGAATAAAGGATTGTAGTACATTATAAATAACGCACAATCAGGATGGCTCCACAAAGACTAACCAGAAATATCTGAATATAAATACTGGTTAGAGTTAATGCAGTAGCACACGTTGTGAATGCGTTTTATATGACGAACTTATTATCACAAATGTAACTATTACGATCAAAACATCACAAAGTTCCTCTGCATCATTGAAGATACTTAAACGTTCGATCCAACACTTATGCTCCGTTACTTCGCTCATACATATCTATTCAGAGGAAAACAGAAGTTATTTAGTCTCTGTTTCAAAAAAGACTTGAAACTGTTGTAGCGATAATTTATAATCTTTACCAACGCATAAAGCGATACAAAATTCAACTTTATATTACTGTATTATACACATGCCACTATAGATAAAACTATATAACTAAAACAAATTTAAATGTAGATACAATACAATTTATTACTTTTAAAACATACAATATTTTAAGAGACATACTTAAAAAAACATGAAATAAATGACAGCAAAGAAGTCTGTATGATGAGAACGTCTTTATTTACTTATATTGTGTTCATCTTATCCCACAAAAGTTAAAAGTGAACTGAAAATCGATTTATATTTCGTCTCTAATTCATCGATAGAATATCACAATGTAAGTGGCTTCGACACATCCATACACCTGGATATACGACACTCCTTCAGAATCAGCGAATAGTGTTACACTAACGTCACTTCAGCTTCAGTCTTGTAAATCATATTGTTACGCCTCTGTTTGTTTGTTAATTTTCCGTAAAAATCATTTCCGAAGAAACTTTAGCGATACAAGTCCGTTCTTAAATAAAACTAGTTTATTCTTTCTCAATACAACTTTGAAATTCACTTAATTTCCACGGTCACGCTATAACTTAAACAAACCCTATAATTCACAACGAACGATTTACGCGCTTGACTCAATTGTCTGTCTCTATCTCTGTCTGCAATTCAATTCCATTGTTGCCGTCACTTCTTGGCGGTCTTATATACAAGAATACCGCACATCTAGTAAACACTCGAGGCTTCACGAATAGACATGAATTTTCTAGAAGCTCATGACATGTTACTAGCGTCACATGACTTCCGCTGTCGTAACAATATGTCGAAAAACATCACACTTTCCGTAACTACAAAACTGTTCTAATTGCATTGAATAAAATCATTTCTGATGTGTAGTCATATGATTGGCTATACTGATCAAGTTGTGATATCATTGGCTGATACGTATAATATATTGTTGCGTCATCGAGGTCACGTGACTGGTGTGGCGCCACCTATTTTCTAGAACTATCCTGTACCTTGGCGAATGCTCTAGTATTTACTAGATATAGGGTAGGCTGGTATATAAAAGAGGGTGACAACGTGACGGGATAAAAATAATAATGTGTGTGTAGATAGTGAGTAATTGAACTGCAGTCACAGGGTATTGTTGAAGTTAACGTTCGTTCGTTATAGTGTTTGTTTTAGCGCGAATATTGGAATAAAGTGTATCGTAAAGTTATATTCGGAAAGAATAAACCAGTTTTATTAAGTAAAGACTTGTGTCGTCAAAGTTTCGTCGAAACGAAGTTACGAAAAATCAATTAACAACCGGAGACGTAACAAATTGGTGTCAGAAAGTGGGATGAAAAGAAAATGGAAACGAGAAGCGGCAAATCAAATTACAGCCCAGCAGACTTAATGGCAGCAATACAAGAACAGCAAAAGAAACAAGAAGAGAGACAACAACAGTTGCAAGAAAACCTGCAATAATGGTAGCTTGAACAACAAAATAAACAAGAAGAGAAATTACAACAGTTGTTAGAGGAAAAAGAAAAGAAACAAGAAGAGAGACAACAGCAGTTGCAAGAAAACCTGCAACAATGGCAGCTCGAACAACAAACGAAACAAGAAGAACGAGAAATTAAACAAGAAGAGAAATTACGGCAGTTGTTAGAGGAAAAAGAAAAGAAACAAGAAGAACGAGAAATTAAACAAGAAGAGAAATTACGGCAGTTGTTAGAGGAAAAAGAAAAGAAACAAGAAGAACGAGAAATTAAACAAGAAGAGAAA